AATAACTAAATGACCATTTATCTCCAAAATTCTTGAAAAAGTTGTTGCTTCTCAGCTTCACTCTTACCTCAATTCTCATAGCCTCTATGAACAGTTCCAATCTGGTTTCAGATCACTACATAGTACAGACACAGCACCGGTAAAAATCACTAATGCTCTACTAATGGCAGCAGACAGGCCTTCTCTCCATTCTTGTTCTACTAGATCTCAGTGGATCTCATTGGATACGATCTCTCATAATATACTTCTCAAAAGATTAGCATCTATCGGCATTAGTCACACCCCCCTAGCCTGGTTCACCTCATACATATCTGATCATACTCAGTTCATTCAATTTCAATCTCACTCTTCTACTTCATTCCGGTTACTGCAGGAGTTCCCCAAGGCTTGCTTTTTGGCCCCCTCTTATTTATCATCATATCTGCTTCCCCTTGGTTACATTTTCCACAAATACAACATCAATTTTCACGGTTCTGCTGATGACACCCATCTGAACATTTCCTCTAATCCAAATGCATCTCTTCCACCAATCTCCCTTTCTAACTGTCTATCAGAGATTCGATCTTGGCTCTTTCGTAATCTACTTAAACTAAACAGCAACAAAATGGAACTCCTACTCATTGGCACTGCTTTGGATTTAAACAATGCTCCCAATCTCTCTATCAATATTGACAACTGCACTGTTCACCCATCTTTACAGGTAAAAAGCCTTGGTGTCACACTAGATGGTACACTTTCATTCAAATCTCACATTAACCATGTTACTCACATCTTCCTTACACAATAATTACACGTGCAACGTGTGTCTCTCGTTATATATAAGAGCTACATAGAACTACATATATATTAAATGAGCAATAAGATGTGATAATAGATATGAAATATCAATCTGAATGTTTAATCAGAAGACTTTAGTTTTTTGGACACTTCAGGGAACACACACTTCATATTAATCCAGACAGAGTCAGGAATATAGTAAAAAAATTTAAATTCTCTTTTCCTAAACTAAATAAAAATACACAACAAAGTATGAATGACATGATGGCTGTATAGATAACAGTTGATGAATGGAATGATGGAATGTGAGCTAGATGTTTAGCAAAACCTTATAAGTATCTGAGAGAGATTGTGAAGTCTGGGTGGTTAAATCATTTTTGGCTGTATGGTTTGATAAGCTAAAATTTATTTATAGAACCATCTGACACAATTTGTGCTGATTTACGCGCCCTAGTGTGAAGATCCACATGCGATCCAGGGGGGGTCAGAAGGTTGAGATAGACACTGCCGATGGCGTGGACCTCTAGTACCGGAGCTCATAGCCAGCTCAGAGTATGACCCGTCTAGTCTGGGTTATCTTCAGTGACGGCAGGAAGCTGAAGTGTCTATTTTGCGTCTAAGGCTGTTTGGAGGCTCTTAAAAGAGCCGTTGTGTCTGATATCACTTGCAAGCATTGCGGAGAGGCTTTGGCCTTGGTATCGAAAGAGAGGATGGTTCCAAATGCTTGCTCACTGGTCGGCAGAACCAGGATGCAGTGGGAGAACTAACCAGATCAGGAAGGGATTCCTGTATTTATGAACCTTTGTTTATAAATTTGGCAAATCAGAATTTGACACGTTTAACAGGCGTTTACAAAATATCTCAGAAATCATGCCTTCACTCAGATACTCACAGGTTAGCTCTTAGTGAGAAGTGGAAATGTTTTTTACACATTTATTTGAAGTGAATGTTCAAACCTTAATATTAATCTTATGATGTATGCGTATACTGATAGATTAACTTGTTAAATCAACAATTACTGATCTGGTGTAGATTAAGATCTGACATGAATCATTGCAGGAAAAATATAAATTTTAACACATCATTGACTATTGCACACATTATTCAAACACTTTGGGAATTAACAAGATATGATTATATGACACTTATGCAATTATAAGGTTTTAAAAAGTCATTTATGATTCAAGGAAGATGAACTTTATTCAGAGTGAGAGTGCAGAAAGTCTTGTTTTCTACATGACTTTTGTTCCAGCCAAGATACAGTAAGTGAGCTAGGAATTATTATGGCTCCTTTATCCAATGACAAGGCCTTGAGCAATGCTTCTTGTTTGGAGGCCAGACAGATGGGGTGTGTGTGTCTGCAAATGAAAAAGTTCATTTTTTGTTCATTCTGATGAAAATACTTAACCTTTGGGCATGCTACACATTCCAGCTGAAACCAAATAAAGCAAAGTGAATGGATATTTATTTAGACCTTTCTTTGTTGGAAGGAATTAATCCTTTGGATTTTCTTGGCATTTAGTCATTGAAACTCATCAATATTTTCCTTTAAGTTTCAAATATTTACATACTGGATGGAGAAAATTGGTTTTTGCTTCTGATTTTGTGAACGCAATGTTTCATAAAGTTTTATTCAAGCATAATTTTCAACTTTCAAAAAAAGTTGTGTTACAGACCCAAGGGGACTTTACTACTGCAAAACATTTGCTTGGTTTGTTCCAGCAGTTAGTTTTAGTTGAATAATTAATGGCTGACAATGTTCATTAGCTTTAAAAAGTCACCTCCCAGGGTTTTCCAGTCCATTTACACCGGGAGAGTCACCTCCAAACTCACGCCCCTTCTCACAGAGGTGCACAGACTCCCACCTGGCACATTCAACGTGACTTGAATTTTTTTGCTAAATCATTTCTGCCCTAGGGACACTTCCACCAACGACATTCCACGCAAACACTCACTTAGGGCCTTGGGAGTGAGCACATTCAACGGCATTTGGCAAGGGGATCTTTCAGCCTCATCCCAAGTGCCGGTGCCCACTTCCAATTTTAAACTGCACTTAGATATACAGTGGGGCAAAAACGTATTTAGTCAGCCACCGATTGTGCAAGTTCTCCCACTTAAAATGATGACAGAGGTCAGTAATTTACATCATAGGTACACTTCAACTGTGAGAGATAGATATAATGTGAAAAAAAAATCCATGAATTCACATGGCAGGATTTTTAAAGAATTTATTTGTAAATCAGGGTGGAAAATAAGTATTTGGTCACTTCAAACAAGGAAAATCTCTGCCTCTCACAAACCTGTAACGTCTTCTTTAAGAAGCTTTTCTGTCCTCCACTCGTTACCTGTATTAATGGCACCTGTTTGAACACATTATCTGTATAAAAGACACCTGTCCACAGCCTCAAACAGTCAAACTCCAAACTCCACTATGGCCAAGACCAAAGAGCTTTCGAAGGACACCAGGAAAAGAATTGTAGACCTGCACCAGACTGGGAAGAGTGAATCTACAATAGGCAAGCAGCTTGGTGTGAAAAAATCAACTGTGGGAGCAGTTATCAGAAAATGGAAGACATACAAGACCACTGATAATCTCCCTCAATCTGGGGCTCCACGCAAGATCTCATTCCGTGGGGTCAAAATGATCATGAGAACGGTGAGCAAGAATCCCAGAACCACACGGGGGGGGGGGGGGGGGGGGACCTGGTGAATGACCTGCAGAGAGCTGGGACCACAGTAACAAAGGTCACCATCAGTAACACACTACAACGGCAGGGAATCAAATCCTGCAGTGCCAGACGTGTTCCGCTGCTGAAGCCAGTGCATGTCCAGGCCCGTCTGAAGTTTGCCAGAGAGCACATGGATGATACAGCAGAGGATTGGGAGAATGTCATGTGGTCAGATGAAACCAAAGTAGAACTTTTTGGTATAAACTCAACTCATCGTGTTTAGAGGAAGAAGAATACTGAGTTGCATCCCAAGAACACCATACCTACTGTGAAGCATGGGGGTGGGAACATCATGCTTTGGGGCTGTTTTTCTGCTAAGGGGACAGGACGACTGATCCGTGTTAAGGACAGAATGAATGGGGCAATGTATCGTGAGATTCTGAGCCAAAACCTCCTTCCATCAGTGAGAGCTTTGAAGATGAAACGTGGCTGGGCCTTCCAACACGACAATGATCCCAAACACACCACCCGGGCAACAAGGAGTGGCTCCATAAGAAGCATTTGAAAGTCCTGGAGTGGCCTAGCCAGTCTCCAGACCTCAACCCCATAGAAAATCTGTGGAGGGAGTTGAAAGTCCGTGTTGCTCGGTGACAGCCCCAAAACATCACTGCTCTCGAGAAGATCTGCATGGAGGAATGGGCCAAAAATACCAGCTACTGTGTGTGCTAACCTGGTAAAGACCTATAGTAATCGTTTGACCTCTGTTATTGCCAACAAAGGTTATGTTACAAAGTATTGAGTTGAATTTTTGTTATTGACCAAATACTTATTTTCCTCCCTGATTTACAAATAAATTCTTTAAAAATCCTGCCATGTGAATTCATGGATTTTTTTCACATTCTGTCTCTCACAGTTGAAGTGTACCTATGATGTAAATTACTGACCTCTGTCATCATTTTAAGTGGGAGAACATGCACAATCGGTGGCTGACTAAATACTTTTTTGCCCCACTGTAGAGGGCTGTGGGGGGAAGAGGGGTGGTCTGGTGGCATCAGCTGGCATAGGCCAGACATTGCCTGCACTGCCAACTCACCACAGCCACAAATACACCTCATGAACACGCACCAATACTGTATTGGAGCAGGCGGAGGGAGACTAGGGGTCTTAGCACACCTCTGTTGTCGCTTTGCTTCCCAGGAAGAGAATCAAGTGCTCAATTAAATGATTAGTTTCTGAGCTGCAGCAAAGTCCTTGCGTACTCCAGTCAAAGCCAGAGCATTAGAAGCAATCAGCCTTGTACAGACCTGACCATTGTCCCTTATCTGAGCTGAGTGTTAGCATTTTCCTATCAGCTAAGACTCGGTTTTGCATATGTTTCTGTTCCTTCGTCTGTCTGTCACTCTTTCCCTTTCTCTCATCATCATTATTGCAACTTTTCTGTGTACTCTCTTTCTCCTTTTCTTCTTTTTTCATTTCTGTTTTACCTGCCTGACTCCATCCTTCCCTTCACTCCTTCTCATCTGGTCCTTGTTTTTCTTTTACCACCCTGTTCAGGAAGCCAGGGAGAACAAAAGCTCACAGACACAGCTGAAGGCGCTGAGCCAGCAGACTGAAGCGGCCCGCAGGGAGCTTGCTGAAATCCTAGGCCGCTTGGCCCAGCGTGAAGAAGAGCTCCACCGCAAGGACGTGGAGTTGTCGGAGGCTCAGCAGCGTCAGTTGTCACTGCAGCAGGAAATCCGGGAGGTGTGTAGCTGAACTTCCAAGAATAGAAAACATTCCTCCCCTATTCACCAGGGACACCAAACAGTCATTAACACTTCCAAAGAACTCAGATTTGAAAATATTTATTTTCTAAATTTGATCAGAAGACCAATGTTTAGTTTCAAAATAGATATCTAATGTCTTTAAACAACTTTGATTCATTAGAAAGTTAAACAGAATTTTACTCTAGTTAAAGGACGCCTCAGCCACCCAGGAGCAGCAGACTCGGCATCAAGCCACCATCCAGGCACAACTGAGAGAAGATAATCAGAGGTTAAGAGAACATGTAGACGCCCAGGCCTATCGTTGTCAGAGAGACCAGGATTCACAGGCAGAGCTCCAGACCACCCTTAAGCAGATGACTGCAGCGCACGCTCAGCTATCCCAACAACTGGTCAAGGAAGAGGGCACCAGGCAGGAGCTGCAGAAGGCCATTTCAGAACTTAAAGCCAAAGTGACAATGCTGCAAGAGGAGCGGTCCACCCTGAATCAGCAGCTGCAGCTTGAGAGAGGTGTGCACCAGAAGGAAGTGGATAACTTGAAGGTCACTGCTGAAGACTGCAGGATGAAGGATTGCGAAATGCAGCGCATGCTCAGAGCCAGCCGTCAGGAGCGAGATGAAATACAGGCAAAACTAATGGAAGTTAAGGTAGGAAAACATTCTGTAGCTACTGATTTGCATAGCTTTGCTACAAATTGGTGAATTGACTTGAGCTGGTTTAGGTAAAGCACTTTCTGTATAAAGAAAGAAAAATACCTCATTTTCATTCTAATTACCCACAACAAGAGTTTTCCTGGCTTCTTAAAAAAAATGCAACTTGTTATTTGAACAATACTCAGTAATTAAAAGGAGTGTAATTTCATCCATGCCAAGCTTTTGTTAGTGCTTTAGTTTTGACTTTTTGAGCCAGGAAACAGAATTAAATGTTACCATTAAGTGCACATGCATTAAAGCAGATATTAACCTGCTAATTTGTGAGCTTTAGAGAGGCTTTAAGTTATTATTGCTGTTTGACAGAGCCATGCAAACTGTCTTTGATTCCTGTCTATGCTAAGCTGGCTGTACTGAAAATGCATATTATGCAGAGACAAACAGTGATAGTAATCTCTTCTTCTGCCTCTTGAAACGCTAATCAAGTCCTTCTAATATATTTAAAGCCCTCTTGCAAAAGCGTGGTTGATCTCTGGATGATATTTCAGGTGTCACATTCTCTTAATTTAGTTTATCTTACATGTTCAAAGACAAATGCCAACCACAGATGGGTTTTTCCTACCTACAGTATGCAGGTCACCGTCTCACACCCTGAATTTGGCACAAGTTAACACTTGCATCAGACAAATAACAGCTGGAATTTTTTGACTCAGTGAGATGAATCTATCCAGTTATTTTCTTATCCAAGTTCGGGTTGTGGAGGTAACTGGTCCAGGAAAAAAAAAAAACTCAAAACATCCCTTTCCACAATAACACTCTCCAGTTTATCCTAGGATTGCAGGACAATCCCAGGCCAGACAAGATATATGGTATCTCCATCAAGTTATCTGAACTTGGATGTCTTTCCAGTGTCTAGAAATCCTCCAGAGGAAGGTGACCAGGAGGCATCCTAGTCCAATCCTGAACCAACTCGGATGACTTCTTTCAGTGAGAAGGAGCAGTGGCTCTATACCAATCTCCCCTTGTGGCATAGCCTGGCAACCCTCCAAGGGAAACTTATTTCATGTTCTACAGGTCCTTCTCAAAAAATGTGCATGTTGTGATAAAGTTCATTATTGTCTGTAATGTACTGATAAACATTAGACTTTCATATATATTAGATTCATTACACACAACTGAAGTAGTTCAAGCCTTTTATTGTTTCTAATATTAATGATTTTGGTATACAGCTCATGAAAACCCAAAATTCCTATCTCAAAAGATTTGCATATTTCATCCAACCAATAAAATAAATGTGTTTTTAATACAAAAAAAGTCAACCTTCAAATAATTATGTTCAGTTATGCACTCAATACTTGGTTGGGAATCTTTTTGCAGAAATGACTGCTTCAGTGCGGCGTGGCATGGAGGCAATCAGCCTGTGGCACTGCTGAGGTGTTATGGAGGCCCAGGATGCTTCGATAGCGGCCTTAAGCACATCCAGAGTGTTGGGTCTTGCCTCTCTCAACTTTCTCTTCACAATATCCCACAGATTCTCTCTGGGGTTCAGGTCAGGAGAGTTGGCAGGCCAATTGAGCACAGTAATACCATGGTCAGTAAACCATTTACCAGTGGTTTTAACACTGTGAGCAGGTGCCAGGTCGTGCTGAAAAATGAAATCTTCATCTCCATAAAGCTTTTCAGCAGATGGAAGCATGAAATGCTCCAAAATCTCCTGATAGCAAGCTGCATTGACCCTGCCCTTGATAAAACACGGTGGACCAACACCAGCAGCTGACATTGCACCCCAGACCATCACTGACTGTGGGTACTTGACACTGGACTTTGGGTGTTTTGGAATTTCCCTCGGCCCAGTCTTCCTCCAGACACTGGCACCTTGATTTCCGAATGACATGCAAAATTTGCTTTTATCCGAAAAAAGTACTTTGGACCACTGAGCAACAGTCCAGTGCTGCTTCTCTGTAGCCCAGGTCAGGTGCTTCTGCCGCTGTTTCTGGTTCAAAAGTGGCTTGACCTGGGGAATGCGGCACCTGTAGCCCATTTCCTGTACACAGTGGCTCTGCATGTTTCTTCTCCAGTCTGTGTCTTACTCTCTTGCTTGAGGGTGTCAATGATGGCCTTCTGGACAGCAGTCAGGTCAGCAGTCTTACCCATGATTGTGGTTTTGAGTAATGAACCAGGCTGGGAGTTTTTAAAAGCATCAGAAATATTTTGCAGGTATTTAGAATTAATTAGTTGATTCAGATGATTAGGTTAATAGCTTGTTTAGAGAACCTTTTTATGATTTGCTAATTTTTTGAGATAGGAATTTTGGGTTTTCGTGAGCTGTATGCCAAAATCCTCAATATTAGAAACAATAAAAGGCTTGAACTACTTCAGTTGTGTGTAATGAATCTAATATATATGAAAGTCTAATATTTCTCAGTACATTACAAAAAATATATAACTTTATCACAACATGCTAATTTTTTGAGAAAGACCTGTATCTGGGATCTTATTCTTTTGGATAAAATTCACTTCCCGCGTGACCGTAGGTGAGGTTAGAAGGTAGTTGGATCTGTCAATTCAAAACATTGCCTTTTAGCTTAGGCCCAACACCACAACAGACTAGAGCAAAGCTTTTATTACTGGAGACAGAGCCTCAATCCCACCCCATCCTGTCATCACTCATGAACAAGACACTGAGATGCTCTACTTGAAGCAGACCCACTCCCAACAAAGAAGAAGTGGCTTTTGGGGAATAAGTACCATAGCCTCTAATTTGTCTTCTATTTCATTCTGGTCTCTTCACTTCAAATAAACTAAAAGTGATTCAAATATCTTGATGGAGGAGGATCATGACAAACATCTTTCCCAAAATAGTGAGACTGTGGCACCTTTTTGGGACCAATCCTGTGAGGAAACTCATAGGCATCTTCATTTCTGTGGCCTTTAACAGTAAGCCACCTTCACGTAGGCCCACCTCCTGTAGGGAGAAAAACCATAGTCAAGTGCAAAGGAAGCCAGGTTGCAGGTGAGGACATAGCCCAGGGTTTGCTAAACCATTCTGTTCCATTAAGGCCATTTACCTCTTTTTCAGTTAATTGTTTTATGGCTATTTTTTTCCAGATGTAAAAAAATCTTTTACCTTGATGAGTTTCAACTGTCAACTGCAGTCTTCATCTGAAATATCACCAGCCGTTTTACCTTATATGAGCATCTGGTCATTCTAAACTTTACCGTCAAAATAAACAACCAAATAAATACCAATCCCTCCTTTTTTAAACCGAACAAAACCAACTAACAATATTTAGTTATGCTGAATCCTGATTTCATAAACAGAGTTAAAGTTTGGGCCCAGTGAGAGTCACATGGCAGCTTCATTTAGAGTGATTGTAGTTCACTGTTTGGAGTTTTGTCCTCTGAGTACAAAACCAGCTGAGTTCTCAATAGTATGTGTTGTCCAATAGATCTAGATGGTAATACGAAAGCTCCAAGCATGAATATTTAGAAGCCCCTTCATATCAGACCCACAGAAGCCTCATCAAGGCTGTGCTGGAGATAGAGGACTTTTCCTAACTTCCCCCTCATCACCACCCCCTCCCTACTTTCAATATCTCCAATGATTAGTCCTCCTCCATAGGACTGTTTCTTGAGGGGCATGGCTCCTCCTGATATGGTAAGTTTAGCCCATTAGCCGTGCTGTATGACATTAATATCTGACATAGCTCATTGTAATGGTGTCATTTCCAAGTGCAGAAAGGACAAGGGCGTTTGTTGGAATGATTTTAAATGCTAGCCTAAGGGTGCACCAGATGTCCCAAAGAAGCCCACCCAATATTTATACAGCATAGCTGGGAGCCCATATTGCAATTGTGATACAGTCAACTGTCAAAGAGGGCTTAAAATATTCTAATTTCCTTGTCCTCTCACTCTTGATTTCTTTTCCTCTGTCTTTCTTCTTGCAGAATCGCTCTATTTTAATCCTTTTTTTTCCTACTTCCCTTCAATTCTAATTTACATTTTCACTTCTAGCTTCTTAATTTTTTCCCCCTACTTTTATTTTTTGTTTGTGTCATTCCTGCCTTCGCCAGTCCTTGTATTCTTTGCACTTTCATATGTTTTGATAGTGGAAAGCTTGAGACTTTTGTAAAATCCCTCTGGAGTGCAAAGTAAATAGCATTAGCCAGATAATTTTTTGAAGTGGTCTGATCTACAGAATACATTCTTGTAAATACAAAGCAATGTTAATGTGTTAACACCACTGACTGTTAAAAATATGGACAAACCCTCAGTGATGTCACACATAGGTCTCTGAAGCTTTGACTTGAAGCCCAGTGGGTGGTTCCGCCATCTCCGCTGTGTCACAAGTCAAATTGTGCTCAGAAAATCAAAAAAATGGGCAAAGAGGAGACGATGAGCGCTACACTATTTTTTGGGCACTCAGGCCTGGCTCCAGGGCATGGCCTTAGAAACCCTCACTGATGGGGGGGTTAGGGACTCTGGGGCGCCAGCCTTTATTTTCATGATAGGTCATCTGAACCATTCTTCTTCTCACCCTTCTTGGACCATTCTGCCATGGAAATCTTACTTGGGCCAAGGTGCCCTAGGCACAAAGACTTATAGCATCATTAGTTTTTCTGAGCTTAGATCAGAGATCCCCAGCTCTCCTCCTCCAAGGCTGGCATCCAGCATGTTTAACTGTTTTCCCTACTTCAACATACCTGATTTTTATCAGCGGGTGATTAACAGGCTTCTGCAGAGCTTAATGAGCTGCTGAACAGGTGACTCATCTAAAACATGCTGGATACTGACCCTCGAGAAGGCAGTTGGCGACCACTGACTTATAGATATTACTGGATTTTAGAAGAAAGCTGTTGTGGGTCAAAATTTTAATTTTGCCAGTATCCTATTTAGAAAATCCTTTACATTTTCCAGATTTAAAAATACAGTTTTAATACAGATTTGTTTCAGTCTCTGTAGTCCACTATTCCTGATTATCTGCAATTAATGCATTTACCATAGCTCCTGACATGCATCACTCTCCTACCAGGCAGATGCAGCATCAGACAAGGAGCTGTGCGCGGCGCTGCACATCAAGTTGGACAGGATGAAGGATGAGTGTGATAAGCTGGCAGCGCAGCTGTGCACGAAGGAAGAAGCACATTTGCTTCTGCACAGAAAATACCAGCAGCTGAAGCAGGAACTGGAAGACAAAGTAAGCCAAGAATCCTTGCCATGTTTTCCTGGTGTAATGTGTGTCATTAACAGACGGATTATAAATGCAGATGTTTGTTGCAATGCCAAGCTACTTAGGCTGATTAGAGTTGTGACAGAGATGGTTCAAGTACTAGGAAAGCAAAGAACATCATTCCAAGTAGTAAGGCTTGCTGTAGTCTGTTTTAAGCCAAACAATGCAGTAAACCGTCAAATTTTATTGACCGTCATTAATTTGAAACTACAAGTTTTACCATTACTGTCTGTATCTCTCAAACACAATCACAATCCATTTGATGATGTGGAGTCAGGCTGTGTGTTTGTTATCAGTGCATATACAGTTCCTTTACAGCTTTCAGAGGGTATTCCAGTTGTGTCAGCAGTGTAGTTGTTCAAAAATACAAAAACAAATGTTACTTCTCTCCCTTTCTCACTTGCTGTGCAATAACCAGTTATCAAATAAATCTAAGAGTATTTTTTAAAGGTTCAGATGCACCACATCAACAGGCCTTTTCAGTCTTTACCAATATGGCTTCAGGCGTGGAGGATTAACATCTGCTCACCTCCCTGACTGATGCTTGATAAGTTGTATGAGGCTCTTTCAGGGAAGCCAGGTATTGATCTGAAACTGGTTGAGTGCAGAAAACTGACTCTTATTAATGTAACAGGGCCAGTTTATTATCTCAGTGACGAGATAATGATTCGTTGTCCCTAGGTAGCACTGATGACAGAGTTCCCGTCCTTGGATCATCGATTGCCTTTGTCCCTGGTAGAGACCCTGAAACTGTGGGCAATAATGACCAGAATAAAGAAACATGGCTGGATGGGTTTGATTGAACCCAATCGCTCTTTGTGAATCATTGCTACTATCATCAGACCATGTTAGGTGAGCTGAGATGTGCATCTGAGTCTGAACTACTGAGGCTGGAGCAGAAGGTGTTGCAGTTGGAGGCAGAGCAAGAGACTGTCCTGACTTCGATGGGTGAAGAACTGGACACGGCCTGCCGTAGCCTGATGAAGAACAGAGAAGACAAACTGCAGGTATTAGATTTGTTACTCCTCTTTATTCCTTCTCAGCCTTTGATTGCCTTTTATGTGTTTACTGCAAAGTTTAAAAAACCTTTACCAATAAATGCTCAAAACATTGTACTTACACAAATACTTTCCCTAAGGAGAAGTCTGACACTGCTACTTTGGCATTTATTTTTAACATTTCAAACTCCTGGGGGAAATATTAGATTTTTGGCTTTATTCGATGCTAAATTGTTGAAATTTGTTTTTATGTAGTACTGTCTGTTAGGGATTGTCAGTCAGTCCATTTTCTACTGCCTGTCCAGGATCAGGCTGCAAAGGCAACAGCTGAAGCAGCGATTCCCAGACCTCTTATCCCAGCTGCCTCTTCCAGCTTTACTAAGGGCACTCCAAAGCGTTCCCCTATAACAGCCATGAGATATAATCTCTCGGAGTCCTTGGGCTGCCTCAAGGTGGGACATGTCTGAAGAGTCACATTAGAAAGCTGTCCAGAAGGCATCCTTACCAAAAGCATGAAACACTTCAGATGACTGTTTTGAACACGATGGCCACTTCCAAATTCCTCCCTATCTGTAAAGGTACTGTAAGTCCAGCAACTGCAACAAGGAAGCTCATTTCAGCTGCTGGTATTGGCCATTTCATTTCACTCGTTAGTTCCTGTTAGGGATGGGTACCTTTGACATTTGAATCGATTCGGTACTAATTCCCGGTACCTAGGAATCGATACCAGTACTTAACGGTACCAATTTTCGATACTTTTGAGTGTTTATTATTTTAATTGTCTTTTATAATAATATATATTTTTTTCTCAATATATAACAATATTTGATAAATATCACGATAAATAACATTCAACTGTTTGTATTTTAACATCGTCCTTGTAGTTTTATAAGCTGATAATTAAACTGAAGCAAACATCTTTACTGTGAACTAAATTTACTGTGTATCTTCATTCCTTTTGCCGTCTTTTTTCATTTGATTTTTCCTACTGGGAAGTTAGAATTTCCGAGGAGAAAGCGAACGCACCATTAGCTGATAACAACGGTGGCAATGGAAACTAACATATCAAGCTAACGTATCTTAAACATTTTATTTACCTACCGGAGCAAATGAGGATGTCTCACTTAGATCGTTGTCACTGGTTTCGTCATCATCCAGTTTCCCATCACATTTAGTGAAGTGGACCCAAGCTTTAGCGTGTGTTCTTTCTACCATACTGCTCTGTTTACAACTGCGATGACATAACGCTCTTGTGCATGCGCAGATGTCTTGGCAAGTTCTCGTTATGAAGGACAGGTACCGAAACGAGGCACCGTTTGAAATGACGTGAATCGGTGCTCGGTCGGTACTATGGAATTCGGTCGGTACCTTAAAAAGTACCGAATTCGTTACCCATCCCTAGTTCCTGTTCCACAGTTAATGACTATAAGTCAAAGCTGAAACATAGATCAACTAGTAAAACAATACATCTTTATCTCACCAGACTGGTACAAAGCCTGTTTTGTTTTGATAAGCCTCAGTTTTGTTATAATGTAAAAATACCTGGCAGTAACAGATTGCTATTCCAAGAAAGTGACAGTAATTTGCCAAATTGTTGGCCAACTGTAGTCTTTTCTTGCAGCAAAGATGTCTTAGTTTTGGCACATTACTGGAGGACTAAAACTTGAGGGGATCTCATGGCTTCCTCTACCATTGATGTCCTGTTTTGCAAGGATTATAGAGGCTGAGCTTAGGCATGGACCAATTATGGGTTTTGAGGTAGGAAGTTTTTAAAAGTCCCAGAGTCAGAAACACCTTTTTCTTCTGCCAAATTGTTCCAGTGGCCTCTTCAGCAACCCAACTGGCAATGTGAAGAATCCTCTTGTGTTCTGCCAAGCTCAGCTCCTTCTCCCATTATCCTAATCACTCATGTTGAGATGCTGATTTGCACCCAAACCTGATTTTTAAAAACAAGTCATGTAAGGAAATGAAATTTGAGGCAGATGTTTTAATGTTTAAAAAATACAAACTTTTTTTAAAGGTTCATTTGAAAACAGAAAGTAAAACTAAAACACATCTAACATAAAAAAAATGGTCAGTTGTGCTCAAATCTGATTTTTCTTTTTTTATTTTTGCTAATCAGAATTATTGTAAACTGTCATGAATAAATTAAAGTTGTACAAAGATTGGAGATTGACATGACTTAATTTATTGGTAGAGAAGTCATTTAGGCCATCACACACACGATTTATCATTGTTAGAGATAAATTACAACACTTGGTGAGTGCAGACAGACATAACCTCTAATAAAGTACAACCAACATTTCTATTAATCCTACAAATCTGACCGGATTAGTGTTACAAACTCAGCTGTTTTTGTAACAGATTGTGTGTTATAGGCAGATGGTCAAATTTATAATCACTGTGTCAAATATTTTCACTTAATTAGTTCACTGGGGTAAATTCATGTCTGATTTTTTATCTGATTTATTTGATTAATTCCATATTCCCTTATTGGCCATGCCAGTGATGTGTTAAATGACACAAAACGTCCACTGGAAATATTCCCAAATCTCAACTTGTCTTTTATTATGTCATCTATTCTTTGAACATTACATCTTTGTTTCCATAAAAAATTCCTTTATTAAAAAATGTTTATTATTTAGTTCAAAGATATATCAGATATATATCTCATAACCACGCATCATTCTTTAATTACATCCTGTAACCTCTCTTTGTTGTCCACTAATTTGTTTCTTAAGTTGTCCTCTGGAAGTATTTACAGTCTCATAAACACTGTGACACACACCTGCTCCCCAACAGGCTTGCATCTCATTTTCCTCTCTTGGTTGAGGATAATAATCCTGGCTGCTCTTATTAGAGGTCTCAGTCTGATCCAGCGTGATGCCCCACCTCTCCATTATGTTGAAAGGTGGTTGGCTAATGAGTGAGAATATTAACTGTTCACAGGGTTCAACCGTACCCTACTTATCACATTCGCTAGAAAGTCACCATGAGATATAAGGACATTTGTTTTCCATTAACCAAATGGTTTGATGTATCATTCTGTACAAGATGGACTCTTTGTTGAAGAATCACAAACCAGAGTCAGAGATTAACATTTACCCAGAATGGCTAATTCAGTATCTGTTTTTTGGTACTCTGGTATTTCTAATAGCCACATTAAAGCCCAAACCTAATATGCTCCTAACATGTGGCACATCAAACCAGGTCCCATTATTATTTATTATTTTCTACCCAAAGTTTTCACTGGCTCCTGTGAATTAATTTTTAGGTTTTTTTGTTAGTGCTCAAGACTGAGTTCACAATCTGCATTGACTGCTGATGGATTTGTATGAAAAAATCTGTCTGCAGATAAACTGGAACTTTGCAGTGGTTCTCCTTTTTAAAGAGCAAGTTTGCCGACTTTTACTTGTTATTTTTGAAACCGACCAGACCGGAATTTTTTCCACCAAAATTGGTTCCAGAGTTTGTTCAGTAATGGTGCCAGAGCCGGTGCTTTACTGGTTCTAAGCTGGTTCTAAGCTGGTTCTTTCAAAGAACCGGACACCTTTTCACAGACTTGGGACTTTGTTGATGCTGTCATGACGTCAGACAAAGCGTTGAGACTAGGGCTGGGATAAACGATTATTTTTAAAACAGTTATTCGGGTGATTATTTTATCAAAAAGTCGACTATTCTAATGTCTAATTAGACAAATAATCTAATGATTATTTTTCTTTAGCGCAAATAATAAAAAACATAAAATCTCAAATAAATACCCCGCAAAAATTTTAATAAATTGGTACTGTAAAACTGTAAACACTGACAGTCCTTCCATTTTGTATAACACTGCTTTTATTTTGTTGCGGCGGGTTGTGTTCTGGTGGCATAGAGCTTGGGAGTGCAGGCTGCTGAGCCTGAGAGGTCAGATACTTATGTTCCTCTCTGTAGGTCACACTGTAATTTAGCATTCATGGACTCGTCCATCTTGGCTCGCAATGGGCAAGGCTGTTGTTGATTTGATGCCAGGAGAGAGCAGAGCATGTCTCGAGTAGAACCTAAGCATTTAACCAGGTAAAAAACAGATTAAGAACAATTCAGCGTTAGCATTAGCAACTCCACAACATGGCAGAACTCCTCTGATTGGTTAACAGCAATGCAACTCTCTCATGTGTACGTTGAGTCAGTGGAAGAGTTGCATTGCTGTTAACCAATCAGTGGCGAGATGTACAAAATCATGAATATAAATGACTCCAAAACTCCAAATGCTGCCATTTTCTGCCCCCCTCTCCACCAGCTAACTTCCACTTCCTGAAACGTAAACACCAGTGCTTTTATTCCCACAGTGAACAACACACAAGACATTCATTTGTAAGACAACAGCGAGTGTACTGAAAAAAAAACTGTTAATGAGAGCTTTAAAAATAAATTTCTTGTGAATACGAGTGAAACATTTCACATTAAAAGAAATAGAAAAATATATTTTCTGTGGCTTTTTGTCCTTTCTGCTGATTTATGCAAAGAGAACGAAGTGAAAATCCCTCTTTGAAAACTTCCTTCTTCGCCGTTTACACTTACTGTTAGTCTTAGCAGTTCCTCCATCTGTTTCCATCTGAATGCTACCATCTTTTCCAATTTCCCAGTGGGAGGTGAAACAAGCATATGGCTTCACAAAAAACATGCCATCCTAGATTTCTTCACATTCTAAAAGAGACATAAACCGTGCTGTCTCATATCGAAACTAGCAGTACTAAAGATTTGGTTGCCACAGCAGTTCTGCTCAAAAAAATACTGGCATTTCTTTCATTTGAAGCCCACAGACAACACTTTCAACTTCCTGCTGTAGGGTTTGGTAAATTGAGTGCTTTAAGAGCTCAATATATATTACCTCTACTTATGACCAATAAGCTGTGATACTCTATATAAATATAGAATACCAACCCTGCTTGGTCTTTACGGTATTTAATCAGAAGATTCTAGGATTCTTTATTTATTAAGGGATTGTACACACTTCGTTTTGCTTCAGA